TCAGGGCCAGCCCAAGACATTGTGTTGCCTGGGTCCAAGGATACAATGCCCCTCCCCCCTCCCACCCCCCCCCAAAAAAACATATATGCTTATGCAATGGTAGTGTTTCTATGTATGTGTCCTCCTGGGGATGAAATATGTGTCTGTGTGTGTGCTGTGGATTAAGTGTTTGTCTAACTGTGTGCTGGTCAAGAAATGTGTCTGTGTGTTTGCTGGGGATGAAATATGTGACTGTGTACGTACTGCGTATGAAGTGTGTCTGTATGTGTGCTGGGGATATAGTGTGTGTCTGTGTGTGTGTGCTGAGGATGTAGTATGTGTCTGTGTGTGCTGGGGAAGAAGTGTGTTTCTGTGTGTGTGCTGGAGATGTAGCATATGTCTGTCTGTGCTGGGGATGTAGCGTGTCTGTGTGTGTGCACTGCAGCCAATATACTTACCTATACACTGTGTCTCTGTATATGCATGTATGTCAGTGTTTGTATCTGTATGTGTGTCAGTGATTGTATCTTTTTGTCTATGTATCTGCAGGTGTTCTAGTGTTTGAATCTGTGTGTCTGTATATCTGCATGTGTATCAGTGTGTCTGTGCAACTGTATGTGTGTCTGTATATCTGCATGTGTATCAGTGTGTCTGTGCAACTGTATGTGTGTCTGTATATCTGCATGTGTATCAGTGTGTCTGTGTAACGGTATGTGTATCAGTATATGTATCAAACACTGACACACATGCAGATATTGACACAAACACACAGATGCACACACTACACACATTACACACATACACACACACAGCTACACACACATACAAACACACACACACACAGATACATACATTAAAAAAATTAAGACATCCAGCACTTCTTACCTTCTGCTGGCTGTGACTGGTAGCAGTTGGGGGCCTGCTCTAGTGGTCCGGCCCAATCCTCCCGGCTCCTTCCTCCTCCCGCGTGGCTGGCTTCGTGTGAGCCAGCTCTCCCTGCGGTACAAGGGGCTCGGTCGCGCTGTTAAAGAGCCGCAGTGCATGACCGGGCCCCTCATTACACTTGTCCATTGAGGGACCCTAAGGGCATGGGCCACCCGATGGACCTTCAAACAAAATGCCACCCCTGTCAGAGTGCCACCTGGAGCCATGGCTCCACAAAAGTCTAGGACAGGCCGGCCCTGGATAAAATAGCCCCCCCTCCACGCTTTAGATGAGTCTGAATGTAGTGGTTAGAATGGCATTTTATTAAACAGCACACAGCTATTTATATACCCCAATGTTGACTCTCCCTGCAGGGGTCTTTCATACAATAGAATGTACAGTGTAGAGAGGTTTGGACACACCAAGGCTCATAAGCAAGCAAATCTATTTGAACAAAGTGTTCCTCTACTCACTTTGCCCAAAGAGATTTGCCTGTTTATGAGCTTTGGTGTGAACAAAAACACTTTTTGGATTGCTTAATGTATTGGGGGTTGCTCACCTCCAGGTCAGTTTTTGCATCCAGCTTGGCTCCTCTGCAGGAGTGCAGTTCCTGTTTTTCTAATTAAAATCCATGATATTCCACAGTTATCAGGATTCAATTTGTTCAAGCAATTCTGCCAAACAATACCAGCCTTTTCCTCAGAAAGCCAAGAGAACATCACATATATAGGTAAGTAGGATGCTCTAATTTCTCCTACTCACAGATCAGAAAAGTGAATCTGCAAATCAGAGACAATGCGAGTGGAGAAGATACACATATGTTAAAGAAACAGCCTACTGCCCAAATAAAAAAAATATTACAAATCACTGTTTAGTATTTACACCCCAAATGAAACCATAGTGAATATTCCCCTGTGAGATATTCTCTGGGGTACCACAGTATACTTGTACATTCTGAGTTCCAAAAATGGCTATCAGTATAGCAATCTATGCATCAACAGTTATGTAGGTAAAAATCTTTAAACTGTGTCCACTTATGTAGTAAACCACGATGTGTTTTGTATGCACCCTAAAATCAAGAAAAACAGTAACATAGTGTAACACTGTAGATTTATTTTACCTTATTAAACCCCCAAATAAGAAACTCTTACAAGATAAAATGGTGGTGCTTATTTCTAGGTACTACTAAAACAGCAAAGGGTACACATGAGCCAGCCAAGCAGTCAAAAGGTTACTAGTTCCTTGGGAAATGACAGCATCTGCTCTGTGCACTTGAGCCGACCGAGCGCCAACGTTATCTCTCGCTGGGAGGCAAACAGATGCTGAAAAGGACGTCCAGCACCATTAACACGTTTCGCCCTTCTGAAATGTTTTTTTTCAAGATAAGTGCCACGGCCGCTCCTGAACAGTTTTATACTCTGTTATCAGACCGGCATCAATTATTTCTTAAAGATTCAGACATATGACTAAAAAAGTGTCTCCTTGGATCACTTATAACGATAATATTTGTAATATACCGATAAAGCATACTCTCTTAAGACATCTGCGTTCCTCTGGGCGCAGATCATAGACGGTCGGCTCAAGTGCACAGAGCAGATGCTGTCTTTTCGCAAGGAACTGGTAACTAGAGATGTCGCGAACTGTCCGCGAACTTCTCGCGAACAGTTCGCCACGGTTCGCCACGAGCTGTTCGTGGCGAACTTCAGTCAGCTGACACGTCCCGGCCAATCTCCAGCAGACCCTCCCTCCCAGACCCTCCTACTTCCTGGACAGCATCCCTCCTACTTCCATGGATGCTGTCCAGGAAGTAGGAGGGTCTGGGAGGGAGGGTCTGCTGGAGATTGGCCGGGACGTGTCAGCTGACCGGAGTTCGCCGCGAACAGCTCGCCGCGAACAGCTCGTGGCGAACCGTGGCGAACTGTTCGCAGACGGTTCACGACATCTCTACTGGTAACCCATGTGTACCCTTTGCTGTTTTAGTAGTACTTAGAAATAAGCACCACCATTTTATCTTTTAAGAGTTTCTTATTTGGGGGTTTAATAAGGTAAAATAAATCTACAGTGTTACACTATGTTACTGTTTTTCTTGATTTTAGGGTGCATACAAAACACATCGTGGTTTACTACATAAGTGGACACAGTTTAAAGATTTATACCTACATCACTGTTGATGCATAGATTGCTATACTGATACCCATTTTTGGAACTCAGAATGTACAAGTATATTGTGGTACCCCAGAGAATATCTCACAGGGGAATAGTCACTAAGTGCTGACACTGTGGTTTGCAATCTGGACTTGAAACTTGGGGAAGTTTTGTATGTGTTTTAGCAGCTGTTTATTTGTTTTCATATACTGTCATTTGTAGTTATTCGCTTTTTAGTTTATTGCTATTTTAAACAGGGGGATTGCTGAGTTATTCACTAGACTGAGAATTGCCAGGAATTCAATTTGAATTAACAATTTAAGGTCAAAGTAGCTGATCTAAAAAACAAAATCTTCAAGTCAGCTATGCTTGTAGTTTGAAATTCACTTTAAATTTCCTAAATTTTCCCTTTAGTGAATGACCCTGCAAGACCAACTTTAAAATGAACTGAGCTGGAGAATTCATTCAGTTTGGTCCTTTTAGCTAAATTCCCTGCACTTTCCAATCAGTAAAGACAAGCTGTCTTTCCTCCATTGTGAAAGGGTTACGTCAAGCACCATGGCCTTCCTTTAGAAGTGGTCATGGTGTTTGGAGCCTGCATATGTAGTATTTTAGCTTGAAACGCTGCGCCATGCTGAGCAATCTGCAGTTTTGTACCGGGGGCATATCTGGAATTCTGTTTCATGCTGCCTAATGTCCATTCCGGGAGCACTGCTTCTAAGCGGAATGTTCAGTCGAGTCCCTCCCTCTTGCACTCCGTCCCATCTCTCCACATCTTTCTACATGTGATTTAAAAATGTTTTTTATTTCTTAGAAGCCCTCTCTCTATACTACCTTCCTTCCCTCCCCAGCTTTGAGAGCTCACGTTTGGGCTCAGAGCTGGGGAAAAAAGTTTATCATAGAGAAACACTTGACTGTACCTTGGATGATGTCTGATGTGACGTCGAAACAAGTGAGGAGGGCCTCACCCGGCACTGGATTCAAGATAATTTTTATATAATTTGATAGATATTTTTAATGAAAAATAGGGTGTTGAGAAGGCTAATATTGCCCAATAGGGCATTAGAATCACTGAAAAGGATTCATGTGAAAATGGTTATATTAACGGGACACTCCAGGCACCCAGACCACTTCTGCCCATTGAAGTGGTTTGGGTGCCAACTCCCACTACCCTTAACTCTGCAAGTGTAATTATTGCAGTTTTCATAAAGTGCAATATTTACCTTGCAGGGTTACGTCCCCCTCTAGTGGCTGTCTACTAGACAGCCACTAGAGGGACTTCCGTGTTCTTAGAACACAAAAAGTGTATTGAGCAATGCTGGACATTTTCACATTATGTGTGGACCTCCAGCGTAGCCGAAATCCCCATAGGGAAGCATTGCCTATGGGAAGGTCTAATGCGCGTGCCAGAGTAGGCAGAGCCTGACCAGTGCAGAGGGACATTGGTGCTGAACTCCGGTAGGTCACTGAAGGGGTTTTAACCCCTTCAGCAACTTGGGATGTGGGGTGGGAGGGAGAGGGGCACTACAGGGTCCTGCAGTGCCAGGAAAACAAATATGTTTTCCTGGCTCTCGAGAATGCCTTTAACCCTTTCATCTCTTGATTCATTTTGGAGGCATTTACATCCAAGGTCTTATCTGCTAAGTGTTGTTAAACCAAGCTTGTTGGATTACTTAATCAAAGTACAGGCTGCAGCTCATATCCCAGCTTAACTTGTAGCTAATTTTATACTTTACATTTTATTTAATATTTTGAATTATGCTGATTTAACTTTATTTTTCTCAGTAAATGAATATACCTTACATAATGTTTCTTTTTTTTTTCTTCCTGCAGGTTGTCGTACCTTGGTTTCAAAATTTCTTCCTATACTGCACTCTCATTAAAATATGAAACCACACAAATTTTACTTATTTCTTGTCACTGTGATCTTTTCTCTGCTTGGGTACTTTTACATGCCTCTTCTACTTGTCTCCTTAAGTTCTTTCCCTTCCCCATTTGCGGGGAAGAATGTCCACGTGCTCATCGTCAGCTCTTGGCGCTCTGGTTCTTCGTTCCTCGGAAACATCTTCAACAATCACCCGGACGTATTCTACATGTTTGAGCCAGGACACCCTGTCTGGATGAAACTGTTAAATGAGTCTGCTGAACTCCTCCATTACCCTCTCAGAGATCTCCTACGTTCTTTATTCACTTGTGATGTTTCTCCTCTCCATTCCTACCTTCCTCAGGGTGGACAGAAAATGTCTGATTTCCACTACTTTGCTGAGAGTCGAGTGCTCTGTATGCCTCCAGCATGCCAATACTCTAATATGACAAAAACATACAACCGTCTCAATTGTTCTCTTGTATGTGGAGAGAACCCCTTGAAAAACATTGAAAACGTTTGCAGAAGTCATAAGCACATGGCAATGAAGACAGTTCGCATCCTTGACCTTAAGGTTCTTATTCCACTGCTCCAAGACCCTAAGCTTGACCTTAGAATTGTCCATCTAGTACGAGATCCACGAGCTGTGGTTTCATCGAGGCAGTACTTCACTCTTATTGATGATGACAGGATTGTGTATAGGGATGGAATTTCAGATCAAGGGGGAAACAAAAGCAAGACTCCAAATGCTACTGAAGTAATGGCCAAGATCTGCAGGTCACAGGTCTCAATGTATAAAGAGGGCAGAAATTCCATGCATTTTCCATTAGGACGCTACATGTTAGTTCGACTAGAAGATTTGGCATGTGATCCCTTGTCTAAAGTCAATAAAGTGTTCTCTTTTGTTGGCTTGAGTATGACACCAGAGATAAGACATTGGGTGCATAATATAACACACCATGAAATAGCTAGCGAACCAGGGGGATTTATGTCATATTCAAAAGAGGCCAAAAATGTCACTGAAAATTGGCGAAAGAGGTTGGACTTCAGTATAGTAAAAAAAATCCAATCAGTCTGCCAGGAGGCAATGGACATGTTTGGGTACTTACCTTTAGAATCAGAGGCTGATCTTAAAGACTTGGATATAGTATTAGTGAGAAAGAGGAAGAAACCATACAGATAAAATGTAACTGACAAAGCACATAAAACAGTTTATTGTAAATAAATTCACACCTTTTTTCTGTTCTGTTAATTATCTATATAATTGTCCACTTTTCCTCTGCCCTCTAAAATTTTAAGTGGATCGGCCACTTGTGAGTTTTTCATACGGATAAAATCTTCACTAAACTTCCTATGTATTGAGTTGGAATTTTCTGTGAATTCCTAGATGTTGACGTTTATTTATGTTTTACTGTTTGCAATAACATCCTTTATCCAATATTAAGAATGATTAAACACAATTTTTATTAAAGAAAAAAAAAAGATAAATCTAAATTAAGTGAATTAAGAAAATCTTCTCATGGAGAGATTACAAATGGATTGTGGAGCAATGTTTTAATAGGAATCTTCAGATGAATGTCACAGTGCACTTGGGTACAGCATGGGGTTAAGCACATTCTACTGCTAGAATCCCTTTAATGATGTAAGAGGAGGCAGTGTGTGATATGTGAGACGTGCAGCTAGGTGACGTGTGTGATGTGCGGCTGTGTAATGTGTGATGTGCGGCTGTGTAATGTTTGACGTGCGGCTGTGTAATGTGTGTGACGTGCGGCTGTGTAATGTGTGTGACGTGCGGCTGTGTAATGTGTGTGACGTGCGGCTAGGTAATGAGTGTGACGTGCGGCTAGGTAATGAGTGTGACGTGCGGCTAGGTAATATGTGTGATATGCGGCTGGGTGATGTGGGTGATGTGCGGCTAGGTCCGCTACCTAGTCCGCTGACAGTGATGCAGGACTGAATGTGTAGTGTATAGTGAAAGTGAATTAGAATGTGTGTAATGGATTTAGTGTTTGTGTGTATTAGATACTGTTTGTGCAGTGAATGCAGAGTGTGTGTTTGTGTAGTGGATGCAGTGTGTATAGTGAACACAGAGTGTGTTTGAGTAGTGGATGTAGTGTGTGTGTACAGTGATGTAGTGTGTGTTTGTGTAGTGGATGTAGTGTTTGTATGTACTAGATGACATGTGTTTAGTGGATGCAGTTTCTGTAGTGGACAGGCCCGGACTGGCCATCGGGCACACCGGGCAAATGCCCGGTGGGCCGCGGTGGCCATGGGCCGAGGCCGGCAGGGGAGATCCCAGGATCTCCCCTGCCGGTCTGTGCAGGGCCGGCACTCTCTTAGCGCCGGCCCCGCTGTTTGCCATGGAGGGCCGGTGGGGAGATCAAAGCTCTCCCTCACTGGCCCACATGCGGCCGCCGGCGGGGAGGGAGCCAGCCAGCCAGGCTGGAGAGAGGACCCGGCGGAGCTCTAACTTGCAGCTCCGCCGGGTTCCTCTCGCGAGATCCGGCGCGTTGCCATGGCAACGACCGGATCTCGCGAGAGTGAACCCACGAGGACCACCAGGGAACCCCGCCACCCCGCCTGCCAGGTGCCAGCGTGCCGGTCCCCCCCTCCCAGGCTAAAGGTAAGAAGGGAGGGGGGGGGAATAATTACTGTTTTTTTTTTTTTTAATTAACCCCCCCCACACACACAATAACATTTATACAGCACTCTCACACCCATCACACACAGCACTCTCTCCCACAGCACTCTCACACCCATCACACACAGCACTCTCTCCCACAGCACTCTCACACCCATCACACACAGCACTCTCTCCCACAGCACTCTCACACCCATCACACACAGCACTCTCTCACACAGCACTCTCACCCATCACACACAGCACTCTCTCACACAGCACTAACACCCATCACACACAGCACTCTCTCACACAGCACTCTCTCACCCATCACACACAGCACTCTCACACCCATCACACACAGCACTCTCTCACACAGCACTCACACCCATCACACACAGCACTCTCACCCATCACACACAGCACTCTCTCACACATTACACACAGCACTCTCTCACACAGCACTCTCTCACCCATCACACACAGCACTCTCACACCCATCACACACAGTACTCTCTCACACAACACTCTCACACCCAGCACACTCTCAGCACTCTCACAGCACTCTCACACACACAGCACTTTCACACACACAGCACTCTCTCACAGCACCCTCACACCCATCACACTCACAGCACTCTCTCACAGCACTCTCACAGAGCACTCTCTCACACACCCATCTCACACAGCACTCTCACACCGCACTCTCACACCCATCATCACACACACACGGCACTCTCACACCCATCACTCACACATGGCACTCTCACACACACCGCACCCCTCACACACACACCGCACCCTCACACACACACCGCACCCTCACACACACACATACTGCACCCCTCACATACACACAGAACCCCCCCAACACACATACACAATACTTCCATATATATATACATACATACATACATACACACACACACACACACACACACACACACACACACACACTACACTTTTAAAGGACCACTCTAGCCACCCAGACCACTTCAGCTTAATGAAGTGGTCTTGGTGCCAGGTCCTTCTAGGGTTAACCCATTGTTTTATAAACATAGCAGTTTCAGAGAAACTGCTATGTTTATCGATGGGTTAAGCCTTCCCCCAAAGCCTCTAGCAGCTGTCTCATTGACAGCCGCTAGAGGCGCTTGCGTGCTTTTCACTGTGAAAATCACAGTGAGAGCACGCAAGCATCCATAGGAAAGCATTATAAATGCTTTCCTATGCGACCGGCTGAATGCGCGTGCAGCTCTTGCCGCGCGTGCGCATTCAGCCGACGGGGCGGATCGGAGGAGGAGAGCTCCCCGCCCGGCGCTGGAAAAGGTAAGTTTTAACCCCTTTCCAGAGCCGGGCTGGAGGGGGTCCCTGAGCCACATATGCATCACATTACACCACAAACACAACACGACTAAAACCGACCTTATTACACAATACCACACTACGACCAGCTCACTCTACACACACGAAATACCACAAGCAGGCTCCAAACACATGCACAATACTCTTTCCTGGCCTTTTATCTCCTGGTATCCATTTATAGACACCAGAGACAAGTTGCAAGGAAACACAGTGCAAGCATGTTATTAAATTTGTTTGCACTGTGCAGAACAAATACAGGACTTTTTTCTCATGCTAGAGCTCTTCAGCAGAGCTCTGCGCATGGTCTGCCCTGGAAGAGCATTGAACCAACATGCTCACTTTGAGAGGAGGCGTGTTTGTCATGAGTGATGACAAAACACACCCTCTCTGCCCCGCCCCCTTCTTAGTGGGCCGCTGTGTTAAAAAAATGCCCGGGCCGAATTTTTCTCCCAGTCCGGCCCTGGTAGTGGATATAGTGTGTCTATTAGATGCAGTGTCTGTGTATAGTGAATGCAGAGTGTTTCAATTTGTGGTGGATGTAGTGTGTGTACTGTGAATACAGGATGTTTGTGTAGTGGATGCTGTGTGTACAGTTAATGCAGAGTGTATGTTAGTGTAGTGAATGAAGAGTGTGTGTCAGTATAGTGAATGCAGAGTGTGTGCATAGGTTAGTGAATGCAGAGTGTATGTTAGTGTGTAATGAATGCAGAGTGTGTTAGTATGTAGTGAATGCAGAGTGTGTCAGTGTAATGAATGTAGTGTGTGTTAGTGCAGTGAATGCAGAGTGTGTGTAAATGTGTAGTGAATGCAGAGTGTGTTAGTGTGTAGCGGATGCAGAGTGTGTGTGTTAGTGTAGTGAATGCAGAGTGTGTTAATGTGTAGCAAATGCAGAGTGTGTATCAGTGTAGTGTATGCAGAGTGTATGTTGTATTAGTGTATGCAGTGTGTGTGCTGTGTTAGTGTATGCAGAGTGTGTTGTGTTAGTGTATGCAGAGTGTGTGTTGTGTCAGTGTATGCTGTGTGTGTTGTATTAGTGTATGCAGAGTGTGTGCTGTGTTAGTGTATGCAGAGTGTATGCTGTGTCAGTGTGTGTGTTGTGTCAGTGTATGCAATGTGTGTGTTGTGTCAGTGTATACAGAGTGTGTGCTGTGTCATTGTATGCAGTGTGTGTTGTATCAGTGTATGCAGTGTGTGTTGTGTCAGTGTATGCAATTTGTGTTTGTTGTATTAGTGTGTGCAGTGTGTGTGTTATGTTAGTGTATGCAGTGTGTGTGTTGTGTTAGTGTATGCAGTGTGTGTTGTGTCAGTGTATGCAGTGTGTGTGTTGTATTAGTGTATGCAGAGTGTGTGTTGTGTTAGTGTATATTAAATTAAATAAATGTTTCTCCCCCCTCCCTGTTTTTACCTGTGTCCAGGGAGGGGGAGAATCCATCCGTGGTAGTTCCTGCTCCCTTATATAAAGGGGCCCAAGCACTACCTTTTATTTTTCTATTAACCCTACAAGACTCATGACATTTGGGCGGTAACCGGGTCTCGTGAGAGTTATTAGAAGAGAGTAGAGACAGTGTGCTGGGCCCCCTCTGTGATAACAGGGAGTCGAAGGTAATAATATAGATATCGATATTAGCTATCTATGTGTGCAGAGAAAGAAAGTGGGACCCGGGACTGCCAGAGCAGTACATGCCCCCCAGGACCGCCAGATGAGATGTGCGGCTGACACAAAACTATGTAAAGTAATACAATGTGAGCAAGATATTGCTTTAGTGAAGAGGGATTTATATAGACTGGGGGACTGGACACTCAAATGGCAGATGAAATTTAATGTTGAAAAATGCAAAGTTATTCACTTTGGTTTGAAGAACACACAAGCAACGTATACCCTTAACCCCTTAAGGACCAAACTTCTGGAATAAAAGGGAATCATGACATGTCACACATGTCATGTGTCCTTAAGGGGTTAATGAAAGTTGTAACGGACCGTTTCTCTCACAAGGGGATAAAATCCGTTTAGGCGATAATCCCCTTTCCCATAGACTAGCAGCTACTGCAATCACCAACCTCCCGAACTCCAAACTGTACGAATACCCAACTCATGAACAAGAAATACACGAACTCTGGAAGCAGCCGAACAGGAAAAGCAATACGAACAGCTTACACTCCTGGCAGTCAGCACACAATCCCATTCCCCCAATAACGAGACGACACTTCGTTTTGAGGGTTAAGCAGAATCTCCAGATTTATTCACACAGCCTCCTTTTAAGACATTCTCCCATGCAAGGGAGGGATCCACAACAATTAGTACCCCAGCCAATAATGTACCAGTTACCTCCCATACATCTCCTCCCCTTAGTGTGACACATAATCCCATTAGTACAGACACAAATTCCCTGGGATACTGGATGTACCCCTAAACATAGGAATACCCCTTTAAATGTTACATCCCCTGGTAGCCCTGATCTGGGTGAGACACATATCCAAAAATCACCCAGATCGGACCAGGGATTCAGGAATTATAGAGGGTTAAAGTTTTGACCGACTGCATGGCAAAAGTATCCGCAAATAGTTCCATGTACTTTGGCCCTGCAGTCGGTCACAGAAAAGGGAATGAATCACACGAATTGCCTGGGTTATGGAGCTTGGGGAGGATTCGTATGAATCCCCCTGTTCGTGGGATCCTTTCTACCGAACGGCAGGCCGTTCGGTAGTTTCTGCACGAATTGCTGGAAGTCTGGAGGTCTCAGCGGTGTTTGCTTAGTCGAGTGTCCGATTTTAGTTCCAGACACTCGACGGCAAAACACCGCTGTTCGGGAGTTTAAGATGGCCGCCGCCACGTGTTCGTTTCCCGAATGGCGGCCACCCAGAGGACAAAACACACATTACACATATTGCCAATTACCCGTTTGCAACATTGTTGCAAACGGTAATTGGAGGCACACTTACTCCAGGGTGGTCTGGTTGTTCGGTAGTTTCACCCAATATAATGAATGGAGTAATTCTACCGAACAATCAGCCGAATGCTGCATACACATAACACTGTTTACCGAACACATAATATTAAATACAGCCTGAATGCAATTTGCTGCACAATCTTAAAGGGCATTATTCCTAACAGTCAGAATATGTCCACGGATGGCCCTTAAAGGGCCAGTAGCAGCAATATAAAAATGTCACATGCCCAAATATTGCATACAAAAGTACGAATTCACAAGGGGGCCATAGTCAGATGGCAGGAGGCTGGCAACCAGGCTTCTCCAGTACATAGTGGCGAGGTTGGTTTCGCCACAAAAGTGAATTAGCAATAACACAGGAGAAGGATTTGGGAATTGTTATAGACAACAAATTATGCAACAAGGTGCAATGAGAACCAGCAGTGGCTAAGGCCAGTAAGGTATTGTCATGCATGAAAAAGGGCATTCATTCTCGGGACGAGAATATAATTTTGCCACTTTATAAATCGCTTGTAAGACCACATCTTAAATATGCTGTGCAATTTTGTGCACCTGTTCTAAAGAAGGATATTATGGCACTAGAAAGAGTGCAGAGGCGGGCTACAAAATTAATAAAAAGAATGGAACATTTTAATTATGAAAAAAGGTTAACAAATTCAAACCTATTTAGTTTAGAAAAAGGTCACCTGAGAGGGGATATGGCAACATTATGCAAATATATTCGGGGCCAATACAAACCATTGTGTTGAAATCTATTCACAAACCGGACTTTACATAGGACACGAGGTCATGCGTTTAAACTGGAACAAAGAAGATTTAGTCTAAGGCCAAAGAAAGTTTTTTTTACCATAAGAACAATCAGGATGTGGAAGTCTACAAACAAAATCCTAGCTCAAATTCGAGCACTAACTAAACTTAAAGTAATGTCCCTTTCTAAACCAGGGTAATAAACTACACAATTCAACAAAATAAACATTGGTTTCACCAACCTTTAGCTCTTTGTTTGGTGCTCCTCAGCACAGACCTGCTCTCTCTGCAGGTCAGATTGTATCTCCCCCTTTCTGCTCTGAGACCTGCTAATTAAAGCCTCAGCAGTTGCTAATTGGGGAGGTGAATGAGTACAGGCTATGGAGGAGTCTGGGTCCTAAATACCTTCCTTCTATTACCCTCCCATAGACTCTGTCACACTGGATACAGAGATTTAGGAGATTTCCCGCTATATTATTGGCGCTTAATACGCAGTTTTTTTCTCAGCGATTCCTAACTGGGTTTTCCAGACTTTAGTTTTAAGTTCTCATGCTGGACACTCATATACTGTAGAAGTTGCTGAGGCTTCAATAAGAAATTATGTTGCAGCCAAACGTGGAAAGAGCTACCTTGATCAATGTACCTGCTATGAGCTTGATCAAAGTATAGAAGTTTTCCTAATTTAGAGTTACAAAACAGTTCACTAATTCCTACTGCATTTCATGCTCCTCCATGTATTATGATACTGTCTTGATCTTGCCTGCAGTCCCTGTCTTCACCTGGTGGTCTGATGCAGTCAGGCTTCCCTGCCTTACATAGAAACATAGAATGTAATGGCAGATAAGAACCATTCGGCCCATCTAGTCTGCCCAATGTTCTAAATACTTATTAGTCCCTGGCCTTATCTTATAGTTAGGATATCCTTATGCCCATCCCACATCTTCTCTTCTCCATTCCTGTTTCGTCTCTAGTCTAGTCTAGATCCCCCTATAGCTTGTCCATCCATTACACCAAGCACCTCCCCTTGATCCCTCCAACTTTCTCTAAGCCTCAACTTCTTCCTACCTTCCGAGCCTCTCACTCTGTGCCTCTGTCACATTTTCCGAAACAGCCTGCACCCGCTCGGCATCTCCCAGCTCTGCTCCGACTATATCCTCCTCCTCTTTTGCACAAGTATAGAGCATAATATAGAATAGAAAGCTAGTTCTGCATACACGGATATGAAGTTCTATTTTTCACTATTTAAAATGATAGCAAGAGGAATTAATTTTATTTTTCAAAATGTATTAATTATTTATTTTTCTTCTTTTTATTGTCTTTAAGCACAAGTGAAGCATAAAATATAATGTAAAATTGTAATTGCATATGTATGTATGTATGTATATAAATCTGATAAAAGTCCACATCACTATTTTAACACAGTGAAAGGGGATAATGGACATTTTAAAGTGTAAAAAAAAAAAAAGTATTTCTCTGTTTTTTGTTGGGTTAAATCTGTTAAAAGTCCATTTCAATATTTGAATATAGGGAAACTTAAATAGTGGAATGTTTAAAGTGCTGAAGGAAAGAAAGGAAAAAGAAAAAGGGGAGAAAGGGGTGTTTTTTGTTTGTTTTTGTTTTTTGTGTGTGTTTTTATGTTGATAAAATCTTCCTTTGAAAATAGGATATTGTAAATCTTCCTCCCGTGAAACTCAACATCTCCTCGTGATTGAGCTCTGTTTTTTTTAAGTTGTTCGGAGGGCTGGCCTAAGTGATGCAAAAGTTAATGCTCCCAGGCACTAGATGCGATAGGATTAGGAATGGATGGATGCTTGGTTTTGGTAGCAATGTTTTTCTGGAATAAGGGAATTACAGGCAAGGAGGCAGAAATGGTTAGGAACTACGTGAATAGGTATTGTACTCAATGAAGATCGAAATGTTCTCAATTAAAACCAAGAGATTAAACTCTTCCCAGTAAAGAGCCTATCTTTATGAATGACTGACTAGGGGAAAGTTTGGTATTTGATTGCAAATGTTCTTCTTTCTGGATATATAAGAAATTCCCTATAGTGTATGAAGCAAGTTTAAGGGACAAGAAGAAAAAAGGAGTAGCCACAATAATATCTAAGGAATTAAAATGTAAATATATCTACCATGAGTCAGATAGTAATGGGAGATACATAATCTTGATTTGTAAAGTAAAGGAAAGACACTTTTGTGAATAGTTATGCTCCCAATGATTTTCCCATAAAATTTCTAGACACCTTTATTGGAAAAGTGCAGAGATTCTCTAAAGGTGTGTTAATTATAGGGGGTGATATGAACTGTATTACTGATGCCAACTTAGATAAAGAAATTATTAAAAGGAAATAAGATGGACAATAAAACTAAAGCGTATACAGAAAATCTAACTAAATGCATGATTAAGAATAATTTATATGATATATAGAGAACACAGCACCCACTGGAAAGAGACTATACCTTTTTTTTTGCACAAGACACCTATCATACTCAAGGATAGATTTTTTTATTTATAAAGTTTGACTTGTTTGAAATTATTTACTTCTTCATCTATAGGCAGCATTAATTGGTCCGGTCATGTCCCAGTCTTCTGTGTACTCAAGAATAACTCTCAATTCAGC